CCCGTGCTCCCTAGAGCACAATTCCCTAGAAGACATATGTAAATGCACAGACTCAAAAGCGAAGGATGCCCTCTGGAGTTGGGCAAAGGAGCAACCCTATTCCAACAAGGGAATATAAACTTCAAAAGGATTTTGACGAGAGTGACCCAGCGCTTGGATCTGGGGTCTCCTTTGAAGTAATAAAGATGTTTTGGAATTAGAGATAGTGGTTGCACAACATTGGAAATGAATTAAACGCCACTGAATCGTTCACTTTAAAATTGTTCATCGTGGGGCACCTGGGTGGCTCAGTCAGTTAAGCTTCCAACGTTGGCCCAGGTCATGATCTTGCAGTTCATGAGTTCGAGCCCCCTGTGAGGCTCTGTGCTGACAGCTCAGAGCCTGGAGCCTGCTTTAGATTCTGGATCTCCCTCTCTCTCTGCCCCTCATCCCCTTTGCGCTCTCTCTCTCTCTCTCTCTCTCTCTGTCTCAAAAATAAAAATTAAAAAAATTGTGAACGTGTATATGAATTTTATGTCAAAAGATTTTTTTAAGTATTTTGAAGCACTTGAAGGCAAAGTACTAATTGCTTGAAAAGATTCCCCACATCAGCCCTCTACACAATGTCCCCTCTCTCCCCAGCTTCCTTGGGTTGTATGCTATCTTCGAATTGGAGAACTAAATTGGGGCCTTAGAAGCCCCACTCCCAGACCTGAGCTGAGAAAGGAGGAAAAGGTTCAGATATATCCAAGACTTTGGGCAGCACTTGTCAGAAGAAGGATAGAAACGTAGCATCCAGGTCTTCTGAAGGTCCACCCCAAAGGCCCACCTTGGTCTTGGGAATCCAGATGTAGGTCTACAATTTTGGGAAAATTCACCTTCTTGCTTTATCCATCCATCTATCCATCCATCCATCCATCCATCCATCCATTCATCTGTTCATCCAAGGAATGTTCACTGAGCCTTTACTATGTGCTGTCCACTGGAGGTTAAGGAGAGTAGAACACCATCCTCAAGAAGCTCATAGTCCAATAAGAAGACTAAGTGGAAACAATTATTAACAAGAGATATACACAGGTATAAGGATGACATGAGGAGGGGCACCTAAGGGATGGGAGGGTGGGGGTGGGTGTGCTGGGGAAGGCTTCTTGGCTGCAGGGATGCCAGAGCTGGGTCTCCAAAGCTTCAGGCAGGGGCATGTCCAGGCAAGTCTGACCTGCAGCCAGCTTAGGCCCAAGGGGAGTAGTAGGGAGAGAGAAGCACACCAAATGCAGGGTTTATGGGATCTCTGAGGTCTCCAAGGGGGCCTGGCTTAGAGGTGAGGAGACTGAGCTTCCTCCTCCCCCAGGAGTTACACATTTTAGGTGTTTCCCACACCCCCATCTGCTTCAATAGTGGGAGGGGTAAGTGGGGTGGTAATGAAGTCTTTGCAGCCCCAGCCAGATGGAAGGGATCCTACCCTTCCCTTCCCCTCACACGATGGATCAACGCCCTTTACCCTGACTCCACAGAGGGGCTAACAGTTAAGAAATTCCTCTTCCAGGTCCAAAGGTTCTCCTGGAAGACAATGGTATGGGGCTTTGACCCCTCCTTCACAGGGGAGAAGGGGGTCAGTGAGGAAAGTCCGTTTGGAGCCTCCCTGGCCCCCAGTCCTCCTTGTAGGTGATTGTTTATTCTGCAGCCCACCCCTTCTGCTCTGGGAGAGATGTCCAGGGCTAAGACTGCTGGTCCTTTTTTCCATATTTTTAGAAAACACAATGAGGCAACAACATTAGTGGATTTCTTTTGAAAAGAAACAAAATTACTCAGTGCCCATTAACACAGGCCTTCCCATTTGGGAAAAACTTGGCAATAACAGAGTGAGACAGTGAATGATAAAATGTGCTTAGCACACTGTTTCATGACCATGTTTCGCTGCCACACAAATAACACATACACACACTGCACAGCCCACACTTACGCTGCATATACTCCACATATAAACCACATTCACAATTCATATATACCACACACACAGTTCACATACACCACACCATAACCAACACCCACTAAGATCTACACATACAGCGCACTCACACCACAGATATTCCACACACATACACACAAAATACATACAAAGCGCAAACCCTACACTGCAGACACACTGCACATATTCAACACACACACAAACACTCAAATGCACCACACAAATACCATATTGAATATGAATGGTTTCTGGTGAACTGAGCTCTCCACACGGTCTCTGGATTCTTTTGCTTATGAATATCCACTTTTTTGAAAACCTCTCTTTTTCTTAGTGTTCCACATTTTTTTCTGAAATATTTCCTTTTTTTCCTGCCACAAAGAGAGGGAGAGAGAGAGAGAGAGATGAAAAAGAAAAACATCCCCAAACTATCTCCTTCTGTCTCAGGTGTCCCCAACCCAGTCTGTCTGGTGGGAAGAGGGAATAGTACTCTGATGGATTCATTCCCTAACCTTCTGTCCTGGCGACAAGGCCACATCCATACGGGTCACACCACCTCAGTAAACTGTGATTTCAAGAGAATGTCATCTACCACCACCAGCCCTCCAAGCACTTCCCCTAACCCCCCTGACCCTGGTGTCTTTAAGGCTCCCAGTAAGTGACTGGAACTCGGAGGACAGGAAGAAAGGGCCAGTGTTCAGGCCTTAATCGCCCCAGCGGCCAAAAGACTATTCTGTTGCGCGGCAATCTTAACGCTATCTCCTAATCTGACTCCCCCTAATTTATTTTTTATCCATAAATTTGTCTCCATAATTGGTTCCTCCATCTGGAAAATGGGGGAGGGGGGCGGTGCAGGGCCTCAATTCCGGTCCTTTCTGGTTCGAGTCACGGTTTGCCCGAAAGGCCCACGGGTCAGCCTTTTTTTTTTTTTTTTTTTTTTTTTTTTTTAATTAGGTGGGGGTGGGGATGGCAGGGGCCCGACCTCCAGCAAGTGTCATCTGTCACGCGCAAGCCCGCCCCCGAGGCGAGGCCTGCCAGTCGGATCTGGTTAGGCTCCCGGAGTGGGAGCGTCTGCTGTAAATTTGGTTCCCTCTTCTATCGGGATCCCGGTGTCCCAGATTGATAAGCCTTTAAAGACGTAAAGGTCGAGTCCGTCCGAACCTCCTCCCACCCTCAGCAATCATTATTCGTCCCCGAGCACTGCCATCAAGCCAGATATCCTGTGGCCCCGCCTGAATGACGAAACAGGGGATGGCCATTGCACTCCCGGACTTTTCCGGAGATCTAGTCCTTGGTCCTGATGCAACTCTCTGGTTCTTTTACACAAAGCGCCTTGGAAGGAGGGGCGCTAGGACCCGGCAGACGCCCGAGGACTCTCGGGTACAGAGGGCGGGGGAGACGCCACCGAACCGCTGTCGGTTTGTAGGGCCCGCGGAGGGCCCTTGTGTTCATCGAATTTGAGTCCCCGTTCTCAGACCCAAGACCAGGCGCTAGGAACCCGAGCCCAACAAACCTCTTCTAGCCACCCTCGCCAAACTCTCTCCTTGGAAGCAGTTGGGGGTGGGAGCGGACACGATCTAGCGGACGAGGATCATATGGGGGGGGGGGGCATGGACCTCCCCCATTAACCCACCCCCTGGGGCTGTAGAGTTAACAAACTGGTGGCGCTGCAAGAGAGCTCGGTGCTGGGACCAGCCCTGCCTGGACCCCAACCCCATATTCCGACCCTATGCAAGGCCGGGTTAGCGTGGGCTTTGTGCGCGAGGTCCGGCCGGGTTAACGTCTGCTCCCCGCGCCGCCGTCCCACAGGCATCCACCCGAGCGCTTACTTGTGCCTGTAGTCTCAGGTTCCCAGACGCTGGGGGCAACCGTTTTCCCGGCCCGCCGCCCCCTCAAGTTCCCCTGCCTTTCCCCCCGCGCGGTCACGGCTACCCCCTCCCCCAGCAACAGGACCCTATAATAAACAAGTCGTTCCTTGATCCTCCCCTGCCGCGAGCGCCCTCGGGGACCTTGGCAGCTGCAGCCGCCGCGGATCCCTTCCAGAAAGGGGGCGTGGCCGCGGCGCGGGGTTCGGCTGGGAGCGTTCTGGGGCTCAGCGGGGGCGGGGCCAGACCTCTGTCACCGGGCAGGAGAGAACGTTGCGAACGTGCGCCCGGAGCCCATTGGCCGAGGGGGGCCACACTCCCGGATCTGGATTGGGCTGAGGCGCTGAGGAGGCGTGGCCTCTCCGCTCTAGTCCTTATAGGCCTCTCGGTGCTGGTGCTAGGGACCGCGGCAGGCCAAGGGGGAGGTGCGGGTGGGTAGAAGGGACAGGTCTGGGCAGTGCGCGGGGGTTGATACCAGTTCGCGCACCCATTCAAGCGGCAGTACGCACTTGTCCTAGCAGTTCTCGCCGACCGAGCTAGCTGGTAAGTGTCCTTTCAGTATGTACTGATTCCTGCGTGGGGAGGCCTCAATCCTGCGGGTCCGAGCGCTCTCAGTCTGGTCCGGCCCCCAGACTGACGCCGGGTCCGTGCGCCTCCTGTCTTACAGCGTTTTCTGCGTTCCCGCATCCAGAGCTCAACTGCAAACGTCCTGGCGTCCGTCCTCATCATGCCTAGCCTTTGGGATCGCTTCTCATCGTCCTCCTCCTCTTCGTCGTCCTTGTCCCGAACTCACACCCCAGATCAGCCGCCGCGCTCAGCCTGGGGGTCGGCGGCCCGAGAAGAGGGTCTTGGTCGCTGCGCGAGCCTGGAGAGCTCGGACTGCGAGTCCCTGGACAGCAGCAACAGTGGCTTTGGGCCGGAGGAAGGTAAGCCGTGGGCGGAGACTGGACGCGACTCACGGGGCCCTGGAGGTGAAAAAGCACCGCTCTGGAAGGGGTCAACGCCGCCTTGTCTTCCTATCCTATCAGAACCCTGATTGCGGAGGGGTGGCGGGATGGAGGACGGAGATTGTAGTATAGGGTACAAGTGTGGGGCAGAAGCTGAGGCACAGAGTGGGAAGGAGTGTTGGTTTCTTAACGCAAGAGCACCCCCCCGCCCCCCCCGCCTTTGGAGCTGTTCTTATATCCCTCTCTTGTGTGCTCTCCCTTACCAGACTCGGCATACCTGGATGGGGTGTCCCTGCCCGACTTCGAGCTGCTCAGCGACCCTGAGGATGAGCACTTGTGTGCCAACCTGATGCAGCTGCTGCAGGAGAGCCTGTCCCAGGCGCGGCTGGGCTCACGGCGCCCAGCGCGCCTGCTGATGCCCAGCCAGCTGGTGAGCCAGGTGGGCAAGGAACTACTGCGCCTGGCCTACAGCGAGCCGTGTGGCCTGCGGGGGGCGCTGCTGGACGTCTGCGTAGAGCAAGGCAAGAGCTGCCATAGCGTCGGCCAGCTGGCCCTCGACCCCAGCCTGGTGCCCACTTTCCAGCTGACCCTCGTGCTGCGCCTGGACTCACGCCTCTGGCCTAAGATCCAGGGGCTGTTCAGCTCTGCCAACTCTCCCTTCGTCCCCGGTTTCAGCCAGTCCCTGACGCTGAGCACGGGCTTCCGAGTCATCAAGAAAAAGCTGTATAGCTCGGAGCAGCTGCTCATTGAGGAGTGTTGAACTTGAGCCTGGGGGGGGGGGTGCCTACCCTGCCCCCACGCCAGAGACCACTCAACTTTTGATTTTGAGGTGGAGGTTGGCAGGCAGGAGCTGAGGGATTGACGCCTGTCGTTAGCAAACTGACAACAGCCACCTGAGGGGGGGAAGGTGGAGGTGGGGGGAACATTGTGTTTCCTAGGAAGCTCACTGAGGTGTGCAGGTAGCTCCCGGTTGGGGGCCTATGCCCCTCAGTACTGTAGCATGAAACAAAGGCTTAGGGGCCAACTGGGCTTCTGGCTGGATGTGTATGTAGCATGTACCTTATTATTTTTATCGTTACTGACAGTTAAGACGACAGTGGTGTGACAGCCAGGTGAGCAGCTGGGCTGCACTGGCCTTTGCAAGGGGTTGTGTGCTCCTGGTAGCAGCCCTGGTGGGAGGGGGGAGGTCGAGGCGGTTTTGTGTATCTCATGGTCTGAAGGGGCCAAATGTGTTCTTTGTTTTTGTACCTTTGGTTTTTGTTTTTGTTTTTGTTTTGATCAGAGCTTCACTACTGACCTGTTCTAGGCAGCTATCTTACAGACGCATGAATGTAAGAGTAGGAAGGGGTGGGTGTTGGGATCACTTGGGGATCTTTGACACTTGAAGAAAAAATACACCTGGGAGCTGCATTTGCCCCTCCCTCCCCTCCCCCAATGTGTACTGGGGAGTTGAGCTGTGAGGGGATGGGGCTGATTGGGGTGGGGTGGGGGGGCTGGAACCCCTCCCCCAGAAGAGTGCCATCTGGGTCTTCCATCTAGAACTGTTTACATGAAGATACTCGCTGTTCATAAATACACTTGATGTTCAAGTATTAAGACCTATGCAATATTTTTTACTTTTCTAATAAAAAAAAAGGTTTGTTAAAACAGTTGAGTCTCGTCCGTGCTGTGAAATAAAAAAGGGGGATGGTTGTCGGTAAAAGGCAAGTTTCATCAGACTCGGGTCCACCCGTGTGTTGCTGTGTCCTTTTCCGGGGCTGCCTGCCAGCCTGGTAATGGAGGTATGTGGATTGTGTGCCATCTGTGCCAAGAACCCTGGCTCCCATGGCTGGCTGATGCTACCAGGGAAAAGCGCTGGAAAGCCCTGGAAGGTGAGGCGTTGAGTCAGACCTCCCACTGAGCTCAGTTGGGAGAGCTCACCTGGTTGCTCTGGGTTAGAAGGCCCGGGTACAGGGTATAGAAGCCCAAGGCACTTACAGAAACTCGAAGGACTTCCAGAGACTTCTTTTTCCTCCTATGAAAAAGTCACAGTTCCATTTGTTATGCAGTCACGAAAATCACAAAATTGATCTCTGAATGTAAGAGGCTAGGGAGCAGGAGCACCAAGAAATGGAGTTAGTTCTAGCCTCTTACTAGACCAAGAACCTAGGGCACCTAGGAGTACGGCTTGTTCCTGGGAGGAGGTGTGGCCCTGGCAGGTGCAGAATGGACAAGGCACACAGACACACATGCACATGGAAGCAGAAAAGGAGGGGTGGTGAGGCCTTCTGAGCAAGGGGACTGCAGGCCTATCTAAGGGAATTCCTTGGGTGACTGGGACTCATTGCCCTCTCTGGGCCCCAATTTCCTTATCAGTGAAATAGGGATTGGGCCAGATGAAGGCCAAGGCCCTTCCCACTTCTCCCTCCCCTTGACCGTCGTGGCGGGGGTGGCGGGTGTGGGCAGACCTCCCACACCGGCCTTTGGAGAGCTGTTATCTCCCTTGTTTCTCTTCCTGGTCCCAGGCAGGCCTTGTTTGCCCGATGTTAAAACAGTAATTTTCCCACTTGAGTGTGTGGGGCCCAGGTTAAAACCCAGATCCCCGGGCTCTGGTGGAGATTCTGGCTGAGTGCACCTGGGGCAGGGCCCCAGGAACCTGCATTCTCGTCAGTGATTCTGACAAAGAGTCTCAAACTCTGGGATAGTTGAGAAGACTCACATCTCTTTGGTAGAGCTGGGTGACTTGTTCCCCAAACTGAACGAACTTGGGTTAGAACTGGATCTGAAAACGCTGGTAACAAATAAGTTGCCCAGAGCAGTTTTAGGAGAACCCTCACCCTCAATTTCTTAGCTCATCCTCCTGATAGCCACCCTGTGAAAGCTGGGTGGGATGGGGGTTAGTAATGTTTCACAGACTCGTAAACACAGGCCGCAGCCCTTGAATGACCGTCTTCTGACCGTGGCTGACCTCGTTCACTCTCGGCCCCTCAGGGTGGGAGCTGGGAGTGTACGGTGCTCAGCCTTTGGATGGTGTCTGGGCTCACTTTCCGGGGAATTAAGAGCAGCGCCAATGCTCACAGCTGTGTATCCCTTGCCACAAAGGAAGAACAAAGAAAACAACCATGCCCAGCTCCAAGACAGAGTCTTATTGGTACTTAGAGGCAAGAACTGGATGGCACAATAAACATTAACCCCTCTCCAAGACCAGGAGGCAGCGAGCGCACTTCTCTTCGTTTCTTTTTCTTTTTTTAATGTTTATTTATTTTTTGAGAAAGACACAGGGTGCAAGCGGGGGAGGGGCAGAGAGAGAGGGAGATGTGAAGCAGGCTCCAGGCTCTGAGCTGTCAGCACAGAGCCCAACACGGGGCTCGAACCCACAGACTGTGAGATCATGACCTGAGCCAAAGTTGGATGCTTAACAGACTGAGCCACCCAGGGGCCCCTCTTCTTAGTTGGTCAGACTGAGGCCTGGACTCCCAAGAAAGTACAGCTGAGTCGCCATCTCCCTGAAGCCAGACTGGCTTTCCTCATCATAGGGCTTGCAAATGCCCCCCCAGCTGGACAGAAGGGCCCCCAGATGGGAGCTGGCAGGCTTTCTCAGACCCAGCAGGGAGCTTTGTCCCAGGTATTGGGTGGGCTCTTGAAGAGAAGCTGGGAAAGATTCCTTGGTTGCTAAGACCGAAAGCTAATAAAGCTTATAGACTTACAAATAACATGCCACTTTGGAAAATGCTTCCAGGCTTATAAAATTTGTTCTGATTACCTTTCTTATTTCTATTTCCCAGCTCATCAGGGTATTACTCTAGAACCTACAATAGCTTCCTATTGTCAGATTCCACGGTCTGCCTTTCAAGACCTTTGATATTGCCCTATACAGGCTGATGGCCCACCACACTCCCTACCACTCCCTGTCTTTAGGTACAGGTCAGTATGGCCTGCTCCCTTCTCTGGCCTGATTTTGCTCATTCCAGTGCCCTTCACCAGGGATGTCATCCCTCTGTCCTGCCTGCAAACCCTCCCCCTTCCTTTAAGACCCAGAGGGAGTTTCAGCCCTTTTATGACTCTCCTCTGCCTCGTCCTGCCTCCTCCTTCACAATCAGTGTTGAAAACTTTGCAGTTTCCTGATCTCATTTTATGCACTTGCTTCATATCTCCCAGTTCTTTGGGGGTACCCCCGGGTTCCCCTCAGGCCCTGGCTGGCTGACTGCTTGCTCATTCCCCTCTCCCTTGGCTCAAACAACACAAGATTCTCTCACCAGCCTCAGACCCTCAGGCTAAGAGGAGAGGAGGGCAGGGTAGAAATACTTTATTGTTTTATTACGCCTGCCACCCAGTTTAGAGGAATATTAAAGGCTAAGGTCCTGGAAGGGAAGTAGTGTCCCTAGTGGTTAAGGCCACTATGCTGTAGTTAGTGGAATCTGGGTTCGAATCCTGACTCAGACATTTTTCTTCTTCTTTTTTTAGCCAGTGACCTTGAGCGAGTCACTTTAAGTTACCTCATCTATAAAATGGGGATACTAGTGGAGAAATGTGTATATAAAGTCATAACTGGGGTTCACCATTGGCAGAGGAAGCCAGTAGTTGGGCAAGAGATGGGGGCCTGAGCTGTGGCAGAGCTGGCTTCAGAGTAGGGGACACCTTTGACCTCCTTCCCCTCTGGTCCTCCTTTCTTCTAAGATCTTTCCAAGTCACCATCTTTTTTTTTTTCTTTTTTTAATGTTTATTTATTTTTGAGACAGAGAAAGAGAGAGAGAGTGAACAGAGGAGGAGCAGAGACAGAGGGAGACAGAATCAGAAGCAGGCTCCAGGCTCTGAGCCATCAGCACAGAGCCCAATGCCAGGCTCCAACCCACGAGCTGTGAGATCATGACCTGAGCTGAAGTTGGACAGTCAACCAGCTGAGCCACCCAGGCGTCCCTCAAGTCACCATCTTAACAAGAATTGTGTCAACATGTAACCTTAATACATTCCTGTAAAAAACACCATCTGGGGGGCTCCTGGCTGGCTCAGTCAGCAGAGCATGCGAGTGAGTTCGAGCCCCACATTGGGTGTAGAGATTACTTAAAAATAAAATCTTAAACAAACAAAAAACCCCTCCATCATTTGGGGGTAATGTGCTTAGACAGCCTCACTTCTAAGCTATATTCTTCTAAGCCTGGAACACATTAAGCACCTATATTAGGTTGCTTCACTTCCCCCTCACGTTCAGAAGGAAATGCAAAGGCCCAGAGTGAGCAAGGCTGCAGGGCTCAGAAGGGAAGAGTGCCCTCCTCCCAGGCCTTCCACTCTTTCCTCTGAGCCCTCCCTGGCTCCCAGGTCAGGGTGTGTGGGTCAGCCACATCTGCTTTTGCTGCTGGCGGGAGGCAAGTACCACTGGGGCAGCCCCGCGGAAGGCTGAGGAAACACACAGCACAGAAACCAGGTCCAATTAATAGATTATTACAGGACTCTGTAATTATCCTGAAAGGGGGCACTCTATGAAGGAATCACAAATTAGAAAACAGTCTCTTAAAACTCACACACGTCCATGGAGGGGCCAAGCTGAGGAGTGTCCGTCTTGACCTCAACCATGGGCAGCTGCCTGGAAACATCTGTGGCCATGTGGTGCTGATGGCTCTGAAGGCAGACGCTGATGGACTGTCATTTGATTACTGCGTTCATTCATTCAACTCGTATATAATTAAGTAGCTCTGTGGGGCTGCAAGACAAAGTTAAGTAAGTGGGAACCCCTAAGACGCAGACATCAAAATTCCCTCTCTCTCTCTCTCTCTTTCACACACACACACACACACACAAACACACACACACACACGCTCACACATAACCACACACGCATTTACAAGAAAACTGGGGTGCATAAGGAGAAGAGAAAATGGGCACACACTCAATTTTTCCTATCCCTAACATCCCAGGAAAATATATCCAGCAATACAGAATGATTAAAAGTGATTAAAGAAGGGGTGCCTGGGTGGCGCAGTCGGTTAAGCGTCTGACTTCAGCCAGGTCACGATCTCGCGCTCCGTGAGTTCGAGCCCCGCGTCGGGCTCTGGGCTGATGGCTCAGAGCCTGGAGCCTGTTTCCGATTCTGTGTCTCCCTCTCTCTCTGCCCCTCCCCCGTTCATGCTCTGTCTCTCTCTGTCCCAAAAATAAATAAACGTTGAAAAAAAAATTTTTTAAGTGATTAAAGAAGTTAATTAAACGATATACTTAAAATCGGTGAATTTTATTGAATGTAAATTATACCTTAATACCCGAATTAAAAAATATGTGTGTGTGTGTGTGTACGCACAAAAATTAACTCAAAGTGGATCATAGACCTAAATGGAAGAGCTAAACTATGAGCATTTTAGAAGAAAATATAGGTATAAATCTTCATGATCTTGGATTAGGCAGTGATTTCTTAAATATGATACCAAAGTGCAAGTGACAGAAAAGAAGTTCAGTATGTTGGACTTTATTGACATTACAAACGTTTGTGCTTCCGGGGCACCTGGGTGGCTCAGTCAGTTGGGCATCCAACTCTTGATTTCAGCTCAGGTCACGATCCTAGGATAGTGGGATAGAGCCCTGTGTCGAGCCCCATGTCAGGCACCATGCCAGGCACTGCGCTGATCATGCAACCTGCTTAAGATTCTCTCCGCCTACCCTGCTTGCACACTCTCTTTCTAAAATAAAACATAATTAAAATTAAAAAACATTTTTCAAATTAAAAGAAAATTGTAAAAAAAAAAACCCTTTGTGCTTCAAAGGATGAAGTCAAGAAAGCAAAAGACGACATTGGGAGAAAACATTTTGCAAATCATATGTATGATAAGTGATTTGCATCTAGAATAGATGCGTCCTGGCTCAAATTTTATTTGTCTGTCTCTGCCAATAGAATGTTAACCCACATTTTGTGTGTGTGCCTACAACAGTGCCTGGCTCATAGAAAGCATTCCATGAACATGTGTGGAAGAGAGGAAGGATAGAGAGGGCTATGACAGTCTCAAATCTGCCATGTCCTGAGAGGCCCACTAGGGCCTGTTTAGTGAATTTGTACTTTATTCACCAAAAATTGCATCCATGTACATTTAGAAAACACTCCTTTTTTCAAATTGTGGTAAAATATATATAACATAAAATTTACCATTTGAACCATTAAAAAAAAAATTAAGTATAATCTACACCCACTCCCATTGTGGGGCTTGAACTCATGACTTCAAGATCAAGAGTTGCATGCCCTACCAAGTGAGCCAGCCAGGTACCCCCCAAACTGGAACCATTTTTAAAAATATTTTTGCTTATTTGTTTTTGAGGGAGAGAGAGAAAGAGAATCCCAAGCAGGCTCTGAGCCGTCAGCAAAGAGCCGGATGTAGGGCTCAAACTCACAAATCGCAAGATCATGCATGACCTGAGCCAAAACCAAGAGTCAGATGTTTAACCGACTGAGCCACCCAGGAGACCCTGAACCATTTTTTCCCCAGTTTTTTTAATGTATTGAAAAAATTTTTTAAATTAATTGATTAAGTTTTTAATTTACATCCAAGTTAGCATAGAGTGCAACTGATTTCAGGAGTAGATTCATTAATGTCCCTTACCCATTTAGCCCTTCCCCCCACCCACAACCCCTCCAGCAACCCTCTGTTTGTTCTCTATATTTAAGAGTCTTTTATGTTTTGTCCCCCTCCTTGTTTTTATATTATTTTTGCTTTCCTTCCCTTATGTTCATCTGTTTTGTCTCTTAAATTCCTCATACGAGTGAAATCATATGATTTTTGTCTTTCTTTGACTAATTTCACTTAGCATAATACCCTCCTCCAGTTCCATCCATGTAGTTGCAAATGGCAAGATTTCATTCTTTTTGATTGGCGAGTAATACTCCACTGTATATACATACCACATCTTTTTTATCCATTCATCCATCAATGGACATTTGGACTCTTTCCATACTTTGGCTCTTGTGGATAGTGCTGCTATAAACGTGGGGGTGCATGTGTGCTTTTGAAACAGCACACCTGTATCCCACGGATAAATACCTGGTAGTGCCATTGCTGGGTCATAGGGTAGTTGTATATTTAATTTTTAGAGGAATTTCCATACTGTTTTCCAGAGTGGCTGCACCAGTTTGCATTCCCACCAACAATGCAAAAGAGATCCTCTTTCTCCACATCCTCGCCAACATCTGTTGTTGCCTGAATTGTTAATGTTAGCCATTCTGACAGGTGTGAGGTGGTATCTCATTGTGGTTTTGATTTGTATTTCCGTGATGATGAGTGGTGTCGAGCATTTTTTCATGTGTCGGTTGGCCATCTGGATGTCTTCTTTGGAGAAGTGTCTATGCATGTCTTTTGCCCATTTCTTCACTGGATTATTTGTTTTTTGGGTGTTGAGTTTGATAAGTTCTTTATAGATTTTGGATACTAACCTTTATTTGATGTGTCATTTGCAAATATCTTCTCCCATTCTGTCGGTTGCCTTTTAGCCCCTGAACCATTTTTATGTGTACAGTTTGGTAGTGTTAAAAATATATTTACATTGGGGCGCCTGGGTGGCGCAGTCGGTTAAGAGTCCGACTTCAGCCAGGTCACGATCTCGCGGTCCGTGAGTTCGAGCCCCGCGTCGGGCTCTGGGCTGATGGCTTGGAGCCTGGAGCCTGTTTCCGATTCTGTGTCTCCCTCTCTCTCTGCCCCTCCCCCATTCATGCTCTGTCTCTCTCTGTCCCCCCCCCCCCAAAAAAAAAAGTTAAAAAAAAATATATTTACATTGTTGTGCAACTGTTCTCCAGAACTCTTTCATCTTGCATAACTGAGATTTTATACCCATTAAATAACAACACCACATGTCCCCATGTCCCCTTCCTCCTAGCCCCTGGGAATCACCATTCTACCTTGTGCCTCTATGAATTTGACTTCCCTAGATAGGTGATATAAGGGGAATCACACAGTATTTGTCTTACTGTGCCTGGCTTACTTCCCTTAACACAATGTCTTCAAGATTCATTCATGTTGTAGCAAATTTTCTGTAGCCAGAATTTTCTTCCTTTTTAAGGCTGAATAATATTCCATTGTATGTATGTGCCGCATTTGCTTATCCATTCATCCATTGATGGACACCTGGGTTGCTTCCGTCTTTGGGCTGCTATGAATAATGTTGCTATGACCACGGGTGTACAAATACCTCTTTGAGACTCTGCTTTCAATTCTTTTGGGTACATACCCAGAAGTGGAATTGCTAGATCACATGGTGACTCTATTTTTTTTATGCTTTTTATTTTTGAAAGAGCACGAGAGGGGGGTTGGGGCCGAGAGAGGGGGACAGAGGATCTGAAGCGGGCTCTGCACTGATAGCAGTGAGCCTGATGTGGGACTTGAACTCATGAACTGCGAGGTCATGACCTGAGCTGAAATCAGACGATCAACCGACTGAGCCACTCAGGTGCCCCTGGTGATTCTATTTTTAACTTTTGAGGAATTTCCATACTGTTTTCAGCAGTGGGCTGTACCACTTTACATTTCCATCAACAGTACACAACACCTCCAAACCCTTTTACGCCGCTCCGTATCCCAGTCCAAGCCCAAATTACCCCAACAGGCAAGCCCCACCGCACCCACGCTTACGAGGTTAAGTAGCCAAGGGCTGGGTGAGGGCTCAGGATCTGGGAAATTTTGTATGTTCTAGGAAGTGGGAGGAGAGAGGGACATCAGTCAGGTTCCTGAGGAGGGAGGGTG